GCTTTTTCTATTGAAAATTTTTATGCCATCATCAAACGGCAGACATGAGTGAACTATATGGGGGGTTTTATTCAAGTATTTGAACCAAAGGAGCATTAGCAATACTCAAACTCTGCCACTGTACATCATTTTAGAAAGTATGCACTGCTTTTTCAACATAGAAAACCATGGACAATTACTTGTCATGAATAAACTGTCCTTTCTGATAACGTATTTGGCACTTTTTAATAGAGTCTAGCACTCAAACACGTATGCATTCGGTGTAGTATAGTGTATTTCTACAGAAGGCTGATGTCTCCCTGATCGGCAGAGATATACAGTGAGATCTCTTTTCTCCAGTTATCACTTTTCTTCCTTGATCCCTGTTGTGAAACACAGTCGATATCATAAAATAAAAGGCACAGTGCTGAGGTTAGCTTAGTCACCGTGGGCCCAGTTGACTGAGCCGACTAGGTAATTGGTTGCGTCTACCCGCCCAGCAGGGCTCCTCTCCCCAGAAGCCAAGTCAAGTCTTCTCTCTGTGCTCTCTTCTATTACTCATCATCCCGACACCTCACTATGCTAGCGGTGCGAAGCTACACCGTGCCACCGTGCAGCCAGCCCACGCTCCCAAAACTTCTCAACAACAGCAGCCACGGCAGGTCGAGGCTTGTGGCAGGCTGATTTGCAGCTTGAGCCTCCTTTTTAATGAGGGGAAAATAAGTACTTGTTGTTCTGTGTCTTGTGTGTCACCACCCCCTTCCCCACATACCCTGCACCACTGCAACTAGTAATGCTACATTCCCTTTAGCAAAAAAAAAAAAAGAAGAAGAAGGTGCACTAATTAAGATAGCTTCCTGGGATTTCGAAGAGGGGGTTGGAAGAAGCTTCTCCCACAGTGGCAGGGCCTTGAGGAGGGGGACAGGGGTAGTTTTGTGCAAAAAGCCTCATCGGGCACATCTCTTCTGTCAGTGCCGCTTTCCTTGCACTAGTCCCCCCCTCCACCCCTTGCCTGGGTTGTTTAGCTTGATGAGTCTGGTGCTAAATATGTATTTTTTTCCATGTGTAATTAAGCAGGGTTTTGCAGGAGCTGGGCATTTCACTTCTTTTTCTTCCTTGTATATTTTGCTCTCCAGGGGGATTGGTGAAAAGACAGACAGAGGGGTTTGTGTTCGTCTGTACGTTTGTGGTGGTAGGCAGGCTCATTGAAGTTCTCCCACCTTGATTATATACAGCATGAATGGAGACTGTGCGTGGGCCAGTGGGCTCTTTGTTGTTCAAGGACATTGGAAGGTTATTTCGCAGGATGTTGATAAAGGTTTGGCTGTAGATTTCTGTATTAGTAAGAGATTGAATTCATCCAACCATTATTAACTATTCAGACTCTGGGCCTCTGAGATTTACCTGTATCTCTTAGAGCGTATGTCGTTCGTTCTTGGTGCTCGCACGAAACGAGAAACTGATCTTGAATCAGAGCGAGGTTTGAATGCAGCATCTTCACTCCTGTGATGAGTAACAGTTACATGACATTCTCAGCCCAAAAGTGACAAATCTACAAATGTTCTGTGACTGATTGAAGTACAGAACAATTGGTGAGTAATTTCTCTTGGGTGTACCAAATGATTCCCTTTGTTTTGTCCTGAATCACGCTCAAAGTGCCCACTTCCAAAAAATAGTTCAGTCTCTGTGTAACAGAAGGTACAGTTTTAGGTCCAGTGTTGCTCTAAAAATAGCTTCGAAAATCAAATGTTGAGGGTTATTGAGGTTTCATTTTTTGGGTCTGCCTGGCAAGGACCTGAAACCCTGAGGGGGGAGGCAGTGGGGTGGTTGTGGACTTGACAGAAGAGTGAGGCACGTCGAGAGTCGGAGAATTAGAACACCGAGTGTGTGTTTCCGCGCGCGTGCGTGTACGCGTGTCTGTGAGGAGGGGTAGTCAGAGAGGGGAAGGGGACGAGCCTTTCGGCTCCTCCAGAGGGTTGGAATTCCTCCCGAGCTGTTCCCCCCATTTGGCAGGCACTTGTGAAAACAATTCCCCAGCTTTTAGTCACTCGGCAGATCCAATTGCCATTTCCACTTTGGAGGGAATGAGAGTGCGAGGCAATCCAGATAGACAGAACACAGAGAGAAAAAGAGAGAAGAGTTTTAATCGGGTTGGACAGATGCCGAGGCCAGTTGAACGGTTGTGCGATATTAATATCTTATGAAGGATGTCTGGCAGTCCAAGCTCACCGTCTTGTGTGGTTTGTGTTTGTACGTTGCAGCAGCGGCCATTACAGAGGCTAAATGAAGATCTTGTGAACATGCACGAGGGACGAGCTCTACCTTTCACTTCGGTGACTTCCTCAGATGCTGTGGCCCAAAGAAAGATGGAAAGGAATGGGAAGAGTAAGAAACTTAACTCTTACCTTGTCCCCCATGCAGCTTTGCTTATCACTGTATAATTAATGCAATGAAACAATTTGATTAAAGTTTTTGTTTGTTTGTTTTTTTCATATCCATAGCTCACGGTGCATATCATATTTATTCACACTGTGACAGAACAAGTGAGCAACATGCCAAAATATTTAGTTTTCCATTATACAGCGCTGCACTGTATGCAGAGAATATTCTGCAAGTTAACATCTGTGTGTGTCTGCCAAGTGTTCTTTCTGCTCCAGCTAAAGGAGATGAATAGGCATAGTAAATAAACCTCCTGCTCTTCTAGGCTTGAGCCAAGACTGCTGCACAGAACCCATTCAGTGAGCCAACAGGAGATCCTCCATACGCCAAGTCCCTGAGCCGTGCATCTTCCCTTTTGACCCCTGACCCCTGACAAAGCAAACACTATGACCTCTGAGCTGGAGAGCAGCCTTACTTCAATGGACTGGCTTCCCCAGCTCGGCATGAGGGCAGCCATTCAGAAGGCCGACACGGGACACCACCATGGCCACCACCACCACGGGCACCACCACCACCACGGGCACCATCACGGGCACGGACCTGGCAAGAAAATGGTACATTTGGACCCAGGAACCACACTGGACCAAGAGGAAGCAGCACAGCACAGAGATGGTAAACCGCCCTACAGCTACGCCAGCCTCATCACCTTTGCTATCAACGGCTCACCGCGCAAACGGATGACCCTCAGCGAGATCTACCAGTGGATCTGCGACAACTTCCCTTACTACAGAGAGGCAGGCAGCGGATGGAAGGTAGGACAGGATATAAAAACTGTGTTTTGTTCTTGTTGTCTGCAGGTGAACTGGTTCTAATGTGAGTCTGATTTCAGAATGGGAATTTTTTTTTTCACAAATTATGATGGCTAACAGTTTTGTAATATTTTATTTATTCAATGATTTATTTAGGTCTGTCTTTCAGCATCTTTGTATGTCAAATTTATAGCGAAGCTGAAAGGATCCAAAAATGCTCCAGGTCTGATCATGTGGTACATCACCAGCCTAGTATAAAGATTAAACTGGGTGGTTCATCGAAGTGTACTTTATTTTAGCTTTTTCATTCATTCAAGACAACGACATGGTCAGTGATTTACTATTAAACAATCTTCGTCCTCTTATTTTAAAGGTTCATTCGCTGTTAACCAGCAAGCTCCGGTCTTTCCTGTGTCATAATCATCTGTAGGCAGACTCCACAACCTTGAACTGCGACAATATACAATGTTGTATATATACACACTACCCAGTGTGTTAGTTTTTTGTGGGGGTTTTTATTTAAACTCTATAGTACAGTTAGATGGATGTATTGACATTTAGTCACGGCTGTTTTTTTACGGCGAAAGTTTTCTTGCATTTTTACATTTATTTTTCGATTTTAGTTGTTTGCCTCCTTTACTATTCAACTGATTAAACGATTAACTGTCAAATTGAAGATTTATATACAGACACTGATGAAGTTTATCATCTGTTAGGACTGGAGATAATCGACATTGTTTGGTCATTGTTAGATGCTGTAAAATAAACTTCCAGGTAGAAGTTTGTATTTTTATTCTGGAGCTCAGAATACTGCCCGCTTCTATTAAGCATCAGTCCAACATGCTTCGTTAAATGCTGTATCTTATATCAGTCAAATCGATTATATGTTTTACATCTTAGACATTTTAAGCTAAACCTAGATTTGCTAGGGGATTTGTAGGGGAATAGATTGGACTGAAAACGGAAACTGGATACTTAATTCAGGTTTCCATGCTATTTCACACCCATATCCTACAGAACTCATAATGCTAGTGATCAGAATGCATAACCCTGAACCAGTTGTAACCCAGAAGAGCACAGAACCCTGTTAGTGAACCAAGAATGATTGACAGATGCATTTCGTCTCATTCAGATGACATTATTAAATCCTTATGCAAATGTAGCTATGCAAATCCTGGCTAATATGAGCAGAAAGGTGGCTGTGTTATTGGAGACAAATGAATAGATCCCTGCGGTTGTGTCTTGGGGATTCTCTGCCTTATTAGCAAAGAAGGGAATGGATATAGTCCTTCTCCTGACACTGGAAAGGCTGTCTGCAAACTATCAACCAATTCATCTCTCTGAGAGCAAGAACATTTTTCTTCTTCTCTCATTATTTCTCAGTCTTACGCTTTCTATCTTCATCTCCCAAACACTTGCTCTCCACCAAACCCCCTCTCCCCTATTCTCCTTCACTCTCATATTCACTCACTCACTCCCCTCCTCTCTTCTTTTCCCCGCGTCTGTTCCCCGTCTATAATCTTCAGAACACCGTTCCCTGAACGGAGGCATGCCAGGTACGGAGACAAAAAGGTTATGATAAAAGCCAGGTTGTGTTGGAAGAGCTTCTTACCAGTTAGCAGGATTCAATCAATTAGTTTTCTGTTCGGATAGAGAGAACGGGGGTTATAGAGACCATCCAGGATTTCTCTCGCTGCAGCTCATGACTGCCTTTCCTGCTGGTTGTATTTGAGTGCCAGTATGTTTTAGTATCCCGTAATTATACAGCTAGATTCATTGATTTGTGTGTGTAGCTGCATTCTAGTAGCATCATTAAGGCGCTATGCTGATGCCGTTGCGCTTTCCTTTTCACACGTTCTGGCATTTGTTCACTACACTCGTGCAGGGAGTTTTTTGCAAGACACATAACCCAGAGTTTTGTTGGATTCTTTCTAGGCCAGAGCTCTATAAAACTACACAGTGTTTTCATTTGTCAGTATAGATCGATTTAATAAAATATATTGTAGACTTTTAGACTATTATGTTAGCTAACGTAACGCTGCATTTCACTCTTTGCATCCATCTGCTGATTGGCAGCTGTTCACATGCTGCCAATCAAAGAAAGAATTCTCTTAAATATGGAGGAAGCCAGCAAGAAGGAGTTGTTGTAGTCAGGTCGAGTGTAAGATATATAGAGATTATTTTGAACTGTGAATCATCCAAATCGACTCAAGTTGAGTGCAAGAAAATAACTTTTACTGTTGTTTAACTAACTTCATTTTTTGTATATATAAATTCCTGCAGCTTATAGCATGAAACCTTAAAAAGGTGCCTGTAACTATACTGTTTTTACACTTTATCGTGCTGCTGTAACACAGCAATTTCTATTGTGGGATCAGTAATGTATTCATTAATTAATTAATAATTAGGCTGATCAAATCACTTTCTGGAAATGAGCATAATTGTAACTCTCTAAGAAAAAGGAGTTTCTGCCTAAAAAATGTATCGGTGTCCACCTGCTTTCAACGTGAAGGGAAAAGAGCACGCATATATTCCAACATGAGTGCACCAAATCATATTTAATGTTATTTACATTTAGCAATGAATGATTTAGCTTTCCTTCATCACTGGACATACAATTTGCCTACTTATTCGTAGAAGTGAGCGATGTAGCCTCAAAATTGTATCAAAATATACAAATTTGAGATAATTGTATTTATGAAGATACAGGGGGGGAAATACTGAACAGCATTTTGTAGGTGATTGCTGCTTTCTGGCAGCAGCATTTGAAAGCCATTTTCTATCCTTCTTTTCAAATGAGCTGCTGTCATTGATGACAATCAAATGTACTATACGCAATGGCGCTCAACATAAAAAGGTTCTGCCATTTTTTTTATAGTGCATGTTTGAAGTATATTTTTTTATTTCCAGAAAAAGAATCTATATAGCACAATTAAGTGGGCTACATGCTGATGTTAAAGGCTAGAAACAAAGTATTGGTATCACTACTTGTGGATTTCAGAGAGCACCAGTGTCGCTGTCGCGTTGTGTCTGAATGGCCTTTTCATAGTGCAATAGTTGTGACACTGAATAAAGTAAATGTAAGCACAAAAGCAGCCGCAAGTGAAAGATAATGCAAGTGCTTAACACTTTAGTTACTGCTTTTGCTAAACTAAAGGATTTTAACCTCGTATCTCATCAAGCACCTGCACAATATAATTGAAATTGAAGAATATTTTCTATCTGAGAACGTTGAGCTGAACTTTTTAACCAGTTGCTTAAATCTCTCCTTTTTTGCACAATTCGTAAAAATGATGGGAAACCATCATTTGGAGTGCAAGTAGCCAGCACTACATTTATTTATTTAGTTTTGTTGCACATCAATAGCTGCTAACATCTGCTTACATGCTTTTTTGGGCTGGTTGTGCTCAACGTTTTTTATATTTTTGCCTCAAGGTTTGTTGTTTCCACTTCCACTGAGAACATATTTATTGCACATTTTGCAAAGTATTCAGCTTTGTTGGAGGACATTGAAGTAGCTCCCTTTTTTAGGTACTAAATTGCCATTGGAAGCTGACAAGCTGATCTGGCTCTCAGACATGCCAGGGCTTGTGTTCTTGTTGCTAGGAAACAAAACACATGGTGTCGCTATGTCATTGTTATCAGGATTTTCTTACTTCGTTGTTGTTCTTTCTAGCAATTTTTAAAACAAATGTAAAGACAGATAATGAGATTAATAGGCTGATCAAATCACTTTCCAACTTTTTGCAACTAATTGTTGCAAATGAGGATGCTTCTGTCCAGTATAAGATCACCTTAGGGCCAGAAAGCCACTTGTAGTACGCTGGTTGAACTCTGATATGTCTGAGAAGAGAAAAAATATTTCAAAATCATCAACCTGCAGATGAATTAGAACTATAGATGTAAATGTAAGTCACCACGATGAAGCTTTTTTTCTCTCTCCCCCCCCCCTATATTCATCTTTGAGGAAATGGCTATAAACTTTTGCTTCCTGGATGACCCAACTCCTCACTGTCAGGCCAGCCGTGGCTTTCACAGGGAAAGTTACGTAAGTCCGGTTCATTCCAGTTCAGGTGATTGCTGTCAGCTGTACACAGTAGGAGACAGACACAAGGATTGTCTTGGAGCTACGTTCGGCAGACAGTGCCGGGCTCGCTCGTGCACACGTTGCAAACGCTCGCTCTCAAGAAGCGTGTTTTCTGCATGTACCGAGCCAAGCTTTCAGAAAACACCTCATACGTGGTCTCTCGTGTTTGCCGTCTCCTTCACCCTCTGCCGCACGTGCATGCATGCGCGCACACAGATACACACACGCACACAAGCTTGTACACTTGCAGAGAGAGTCCCACTCAGGTAAGCAGTGTACGTGTGCAGTCTACAGATTACACACGGGGAGCTCAGCAGGAGACGAGATGGAGGTGTGTGTGAGTGTGTGTGTGTGTGTGTGTGCGTAGGGGGGAGTGCTGTCAGAGAGCAGAGGAGAGTTTTACTACCCAACACACGCACTCCGTCTGCTCTGTATGATAATGTGAGAGTGCAAGAACGGCAGAGTTGAAACCAGGACACACACACACAGCCATACACACCGTAAACACACCACACCGCACATCACAAACGCAAACACGTTTACCAACTTCAGCATACAGTCGTCGACCGCCGTGAGATTGTCATACGTGTGGCGTCTAGACTCGAGCCATGCTTGCGAATGCAGCACGTTAAAGAGAGGAATAATTCGCTGTTATAATCATGTAAATTTCCAAGGTCATGAGATTTTTGTGTCTTAGCTGGGGAAAAAAATGGAGCGCTCTTTTACATCTGAGAAGTAATGATGACAGGCTTCCTCTGGAGCTGTGGAGGAGATTGAGAATGTGTAATCAAAAAAAAAAGATGAAATTAAAAAGCACATGCATGCATAAGCGATTTGTTTACAGACCTCGTTAAAGCTTCTAAATTCAGCTTGTGTAACATGCATGCGTAGCATTTCCGTATTTTTGTTTTTATTT